AGCGAAAAACATTCCCACTACATTTAGCGGAAATATTTTCCCACTATATTTAGCGAAAAAATTTCCCCACTAAATTTAGGCATCGTGGGACATCATGAAGGCAACGTCACACGTGACGTCACGCGTGACGTTATTAACATCCCATAATGAAACGTGTGGTTACGCCAACGGCGAAGGAGTCGGCGTCGCCGCTGAAGCCGGAAGAGGAAGCCTAACCGTTCATTCACACTAGAGGTGGATCTGCGTTTGCAAAGCGGTTGCGAACGCGGTTGTATACACGGACTCATCTCTGTTACGTCACGGCGCGGTGGTGGCGCGTCGGACGCACTTCCGGTCCGGGGCTGTGGGCGGAAGTGCCCATCTGAGACGTGTATTCCTGCGCTGTTTTGAAAGGAACCAGACAAAAACCTGCCTTACTGTCAAAATGCTGCGATTGGGGCTGTACCAAAGGGCCGAGAAAGGTTTGAAGGTCAGTTTTCATGCGCTTGGTTCGTCTGAGAACGTGGATATATGCCGTGAAAAGGGAAAACCGGACGCCGTCGGACCACGATTTCTTGGGCGGGAAGCATTTTGGGTTGAATTCACGGATACTTCTGGCCATCAGATTTATTTGTTTTGTTCCAAAATGACCGCCGGAAAACCGTCAAGTTGTACGGACCACCTGCAGACTACGTTCAGTGCGTCTTCAAGTTCAATCGGTCGCCCGATCGTTCGAACTGTCGTCTGCTCTTTCAAACGTTTCTGTTTGTCGTCTGCTCTTTTAAAGGACACCGGCCCGTAGACCGTGGGCCCGGTACTTGCGATAAGAAGAAAGTGCAGGCCTCAAAAGACTTAAGTTTGAAGGTTGGTAAGCAGGCTCGACGTAAACAGTAGATACAAGGAGATGTTGATCATTGTTACCAGTGGCCATCACCGACTTGTTATGCCTGATTCACTTGGTTAGATTCTGCTTGCGATTTTCAGTATCGACGTCGACCCTCTCAGCTACGGTTCACGCTTTTGCAGGCCGAGCGACGTCGCTACTGAAAATTGCAAGCGAAATCTCATCATGTGAATCGGGCTTTAGCGTACATTCTGCGGAGTCCACGCGGAATGAATCGCCGCATGTCAGATTATTCACGCGACGTTTTGCGGTGTAGCGAGCCTCGTTAATTTCGCTGACGCCGCTCAAGTAGTCAGACATCGTTAGGAGGACGCAGAATCAACAATTCCAACGCGAAAAAGAGCGCGGGGACTCACACCGACGCCGAAAACATCGCATTTCAATGATTTGTTTATGGGCGACGGCGAGCTGCTTGCCCACACCCCCATCGCGCATGCGCGGCGGCGGTGGCGTCCGCTAGGGGCGCTCCGGGCGCTCCGGTTTGTTTGTAAACATGAGTTGGTGCATAAAGGTCCAGCGTACAATTGCACGCACACTTGATGTCATCGAGTGCGATTGCAGTTGTACTGGATCTTTATACAACCGCGTTCGCAACCGCTCTGCGAACGCGGATCCACTTCCAGTGTGAATGAGTGGTAAGAGCTGCGCTTTAAAAGATAACTACGCCCCGCAGACACGTTTTTCGAAAGTCTTTTTTAGAGCGCAGCTCTTAGGCGCCCGTTTCCGGCTTGAGCGACGTCGACGTTGGCGTAATCGTGCGTTTCATTATGGGACGTGTCCCATGATGACGTCACACGTGATGTCACACGTGACGTCACGAGAGAGAAAGAGGACATTTTTTCCGCGGAAATATTTTGCAGTTAAAGTTAGGGGAAATGATTCCCCACTAAATTTAGCAAAACATTTGCCCGCTAAAGTTAGCGGGAAAATATCCCTGCTAAACATCGAGGAAAAAATGGTGCGCTAAATTTAGGGGAAAATTGCGCCACTAAAATTATCGCAAAACGTTTCCCGCTTAATTTAAGTTAAAAAGTTTCCCGCTTAATTTAAGTTAAAAAGTTTCCAAGCTAAATTTAGATAGAAAATTTTGTCGCTAAATTTAGAAGAAATGTTTTCCCGTAAAATTTAGCCGAAGAATTTCGCTGCTAAATTTATCGGAGAAAATTTCCCACTAAATTTAGCGGAAAAATTTCCCCGCTAATATTAGGGTAGAAAATTCCCCACTAAATTTGGCGAAAAAATTTTCCCGCTAAATTTCGGTGAACAATTTCCGCGCTAAATTCAGCGGAAATAATTTCCCACTAAGTTTAGCGGAAAAATTTCTCCGCTAAATATAGCGGGGAATATTTTCCCCTGAATTTAGCGGGAAATATAGCGAAAATTTTACGCTAAATGGGAGAGGAGCAGGAGAGGCGGAGTGGAGAGGAGAATATGCATATCCTCCTTTCCTTTTCCTCAAGAGCTGCGCTTTATTTCGGCATTACAGGGAGTTGTAAACGTCTTTCATTTTAATGTTACTGAAACACCCATTAATACCATGTTACTTTATGCTACCATACAGTACTTGGACAGCACCGCTTTAAGTTTCTTTTGAGGGCATAATCTCTATGCGAGTCTAGTGGGCTAGACGCTTTGTGGACTCCAAAAATGACTCGCAGACACATCACGATTCGAGTTCTTTGTTTTCAGGTTTTATACCGAGCAAGCTAGCTAGCCAGGCTATTTTCCAAGCCGGCGATGGGAAAGAGAACTGCGTTAGTTGCATTTGACCTGCCGCTTTCCAAGCCGACACGGCGCATGCGTGGAAGCTTCACCTCACGCGAATCTGCTGGGCCCACGCGGAGCGCCCACACATTCCCTGGGGTGAACGCTTGCTTGGTCGTAAACAGCGTGACAGTAAATAATCAATTAAAATAGCAATGAATTAATGCAGAGATACATCGCAGGAATCTGTGAGAAATATTTGAAATTCTATAGTTTAACTCAAGAGATTGTTGGAGTGACGCGAGATCAGACTTCTACGGCACTCATTACAAGTAATTAAACCTCTTGTAATCGATTACTTTTTCGAGTAATTTTGTAATCGTTTGAATACATTCATTAAAAAGTAAACACTGCAGTAACCTGATTACTTTTGGAAGTACTAAAATTACTTGTAACTATTTTCCCCTACCTTTTCACATGGTGTTTTTATTCTACCAAGAAAATCCTCGAGCCACGTTTCTGACTAGGGGATGTTTTACAAAACATCGGTGAATTAAGTAGCCTGTAATTCGGTGGTTGTAATCCAATAATGGACTGTACGAAAGGCGAGTTTTGAAACCGATATAAAAACGTTTCGTTTCGAAAATTTTAATAGTAAAAGTAACGGTGTTTTTTATAAAATGACAAATTAGTTTTCTTCTTAGTCAAGTAATCTAATCGTATACTTTTAGAACGCAGCTCTTAGGCGCCCGTTTCCGGCTTGAGCGGCGTCGGCGTAACCGCGCGGTGCATTATGGGTAAATTTCCCCGCTAATCATAGCGGAAAATTTCCGCTAGATTTAGCGGGGAAAATATTCCGCTAAATTCCGCTATATTTAGCGGGGAAAATATTCCGCTAGATTTAGCGGGGAAATTTTTTTGCTAGATTTAGCGGGGAAATTTTTCCGCTAGATTTAGCGGGGAAATTTTTCCGCTAGATTTAGCAGGCAAATTTTTCCGCTAGACTTAGCGGGGAAATTTTTCCGCTAAATTTAGCGGGGAAATTTTTCCGCTAAACTTAGCGGAGAAATTTTTCCGCTAGATTTAGCGGGGAAATTTTTCCGCTAAATCTAGCGGAATAATTTCCCTGCTAAATCTAGCGGAAAAATTTCCCCGCTACATCCAGTGGAAAATTTTCCCCGCTAAATCTAGCGGAAACATTTCCCCGCTAAATCTAGCGAAAAAATTTCCCCGCTAAATCTAGCGGAAAAATTTCTCTTCAGGTCAGGTGAACCCCCGAGGTCACGTGACCCCCACGTGACCTTGGCAAGGGGGTCATGTGACCCCTGCAAAATCACGTGACCACCCCTCCCCCCGATAACACGTGAACCTCAGTACCCTTCCCTCCTCCTCCTCAAGAGCTGCGCTCTAATTCGGCGTTACAGGGAGTTGTAAACGGCTTTCATTTTTTAACCGAGACTCATTGAAATTATAATTCATTATTCTCTTCGAGTAACGTGTAAAAGACTGCGAGACTTACAGACACGAGGGAATTTGCCGTAGTACTTATGCAAGAGAAAATGCCCATTAGCTGAGTTATGCTTCAGCCTCTATGCCTTAGCGCATACTACGCATGAGGAAGTGCATTCTTCGTTTGTGAATGTTGTATCTGCCATTGTGTTATTCCGAGAACACATTCTCTCGATAATTTACCATTGAGCTACTTGCTAGTTGTGCATAATGTTGAATACTACTATAAAACAAATCTTTGATATCAAGATAGGCTGATAATCCTTACCTTTAAATGAGTATAATATGCTGGTCATGATTATAACCAATAACAAAGCACATTTTTGTCCAGAAAAAATTTCTTGAACTTTTGCCGAAATGCAAACGGAAAAGGAATTTGCTGCGTTTGCTGCGACTGAAAAGGAGACCATGTAAGACACAAGCACATAAAGCTAAGCGTGAAACAATTCGCAGAATGATGATAGTCGCTGACATCCTAAGAAAAGCAGCTGGCGTGACTTCTTATGTTCGCCGTTTTGCTTATTGATCGATTAATATGCATTTCATTGGTACCTCTGCGATCTCGTTGGCCACATAGCGATAATGAGATGCTTCCCACTCGACGGGCCCTGCGTTTTTCAAGCTGCCATTAACCGTAGATAGGTGGCGCACACCGCCGCCCGATTCAAAGGGGTTTCGTTTTATACATTCATCCATTCATGACGGCGTTGCGTTGTTCATTCTCGATTCCTGGAGGCCGCCAGCTAACTCCCAATAACAATGAGCATGGAGGGCGAGGCAGTACTTGCTACGGTAGTGGCCAGCGAGCTAGTCAGGCGGAGATAATCCACCTCTTGCCTTTCCCCCTGGAGACCTTGCGTCTGAATAAAACAAACAAAACAAACAAACGAACAAATATGCTTACTGATGTACAGCAAGGCGATCAAGATAGTTGCTCCGTTAGGTGGCGTGCATTCCGGATACAATAGGCTTAGATCATATGCGGAGAACATCAGGCCTTCGACAGAGATTGACGTGGGATCTAACAAGGCCATGCAACTCCAGGCGTAAAGAAACGCCGGAAAGTCGCCGTACGTCCCCAACGCTCGCCCGGCTGCCGAAAAGTACGCGTAGTCCCCACCAGATGCCGGTAGTAGTGCCCCCAGTTCCACGAAACAGAAAGCTCCTGCGTGTAAAGAGAGCATCAAGTTATCTTCGTTTATACGTCAAGAATCTTGACAGTGATCTTGTATTGACAAAAAAAAAAAAAATCAAATGTTACCTTTTCTTTTAGAATATTGGACGCTTGTTTTGCCCCTGTAAATATAGCGAGAAGTGACAGGAAACTGTTTTTTTGATAAAATAGAGGACGACTACATGCTTCGTTTTACCTTATGGTGGACCACGGCCAACACAACGAACCATCGGAGTCAACCTAACGATCTCCGAGTCTTTGAACAAGCTCAAAAGGCAAAAACAGTAAGCCTACTTCCGCCCGCTTATTGCTTTTGTGAGGCGTTGTGGAGACTGTAGCAGATCTAGTGACTGCCTCATCCCGAGGCCAGCACATGCAAGCGATAAGGGGACGGCACATGTATAGCACTGTCCCGCGCATTGGCGTGCGCATATGTGACGACAAACACCCCCTCTCTCCCCTCGCCCCGCCCCCCCCCCCCCCTCCCCCCCCAAAGAAACGCTACTGCGTTTAAAAGCTGTCAGAAGGTTATCCAGAGTTTTCGAACTTGATAACCCTTAAAGGTTTGTACACGTCTTTCTTTTTCTTTCTCTCTTTTTTTCTTTCTTCTGAAATCTTCGAGTCATAAAAAGTAGTGTCCCAGAAATTTACGCTTCGATTTGACCGAGTGGGATTGCTTACCAATAAGGCTGTTTAATCCAGCGGCCGTCCACACCAACAAAGCAATTTCTTCGGAACCTGCATTTTTCAGCACTGTTCCCAGCGACACAAATATCCCAGTACCTGTGTTCAAACAAAACAAGAACAGCAAAAACAACGAATATGTCAGGCCTACTCCAGGAAATCATGCAGAGCGCCATTTTCGACTGCTGGTTTAGAGACGAAAAGAAACGCTAAGGTATTGGACGTTCTAATTGTTTTACCGTTCTACTTAATCTATCACCACACCACCACCACCCCAACTACCACCACCACAACAATCACCACCACCACCATCATCATCATCATCATTTCCTATTCTTGAAGTAGCAAAAGGTTACAAGGAGTGAGCATACTTATATACAAAATAGCAATTAACACAACTTTAACAAACGCTAGAACTGATATCTATTTAGGGTGTTAGAGAGGAAGAGGGTAGTGGCAGCTGCAAATTGTTACTGCTATTTATGGAAACAATGTGGTCTGGTAGTGCGTTCCAGTCTTTTATGGTCAATGGTAATGTAGACATTTTATAAGCGACTGGGAAGAATGAAATTCCTCGTAATTTACAAGAACGGTCGAGACTAGACAAAATTCTCTGAGCACGTTATAGCAAAGGTTATTTTAGATGCTTTTTTGTGAGAAAATATTAAATGAAGATGAAAGAGGCGGGACACACTCCAGCGGAGAGAACCTGAATCCAGGCTGGTTGACCGGCGTAATCCTGATATGGTATATGCGCTTTCGGCCATGATACGAGAAACTATAGGCACCTTTCGCTGAAGAAATGAGATACCGGTCGAATACCATGTGATGTGCTGCACTGCTGATGACACGCGTCTCAAGCAGTTAAAGATGCAATATTGTTCATAACATGCATTTTGGAGCGAATTTAGATGCGTGTCGCCAGCCCTTCACAGTGGTTCGCTTCAAATCCGTGAAAGGACAGCCGTGTCCTCAACTATAGTTAGAGTACATTTTTATGTTACTTTTCGTATAATTTGGGTATACTTTCACTAAAGTAAACTCTTAAATGCCAGATTAAGTAGGCGCGTTAACTCTGCCGCAAATTACTAGGTGCGATAAAAGCCTAATGAGTATAGACATCGGATATTGAAAGCATATTAATGATGTATCTCTTCCTGATGTGTAATTTTTCTTTTTTCGTACACGTACAAATCTAGTAAATTTTTGTTCTAACTTTTAACCAAAGAGTCCTACTTTTATTAAGCTTGTAATTCTCCTTACTGTCAGTAAAGCAGTTTCTGGAGCACACATTAAAAAGAGCAGAAAAGGTGTATCTCAGGTGAATATTTGTACTGCACGGACGAGATTCACTATTTGAGGCATAAATCACCATTAAACACGTTTAAGCAGTCTTAAAATGCCGCTATTTTATTTCTTTAGACACCTTCTGCGTAGCTACAATTATTATACTTAAGTCGACTCCTGTCATAACCTAACGACACCAATAAAGCGTATTTAAGATCCAGTTGCACCGCCAGTTTTAACGACGGAAACTTCTATTGCAGCTTAATTTATACACTCCAGTGAAAAAAAAAAAAAATAAAAACAATACAGGATGACTGCGAATGGCACGTCATCAAGCAGATATTTTCTGCTTGATCTAGCAATAGCATGAAGTATTTGTTTTATTGTAAGATGCATTATAATGCTTTTTTAAAGGTACCAGTGTATGCGGCAAAGAAATGTTTATTCAAAGTTCCACCGACAACCATACATTTTTAATAACCCCTCTGCGCTGTAGACAGTAAACGTAGCACGTCGATCTTGCACGTGACAACGGCTCCCGCCCAAAGATGCCCTTTTTCCCAATGTTATAGCTTAAGATAATTTTTTTCTTCCAGCCAACAAAATTTTGGCGCTTATTTCTTGGTCTGTATACGTGCTCAAGGGACCATTATCACATCGGACAAACGAATCTCTTATGAAAAAAGGCAAACAAACAAATTTTAAAACAAATTAGACGATTATCAAAGAAAGCCTGGTGGACATCGCTAGAGACTTTGTAATGCCCGTCCAGGAACCTTGACAGGTAGTTACGATGCCTGTCTCGCCTAGAATTATAGACCGTTTTACTGGAAAGGGGCGAGAGAGAAGAGGAAAAGGGCTACTGGCGTTCTCCCTTTTGCTGGTGCGTTAGGAAGAGTGGGAGTATCGGATCAGAGGCTTCGCCAATGTTGGGTGTATGCATTCTCCGAACTTCGTTCGCACTTTCTTCTCTGTTTTAAACTCCCAAAGTACCGCCCGGTGACGATATTTGAATGCGGATCATAGATTGGACCAAGCATTGCATGGGCACTCGATTTTGGCTCGTGATAATCGATAGCTCGGGAAGCATTCGGATAGTGGCCCGTGTCCAAACGCTGCGATGACGAGAATACCCGAGCCATAACAATGTATGGAACCCAGCGCGTGTTCTGTGCCTTGCCAACCCCCGCGCGTGGCTTTGATCAACATTGGTGGCATATAATCGGCTCCAGATCACGTGGCCGCTTGTTCTGGCTACTAATAGAGGAAATAAACGCTGCTCGTTTTTTTTTTTTTTTTTTTCTGCGGTTTTGTTTGCGTGTGGTGAAAAATGAACGGGTGTTTAGCAGGTCATTAACGTCAGGGATCCGTTCTAAGCGGTATTTGCGCAAGTAGAAAAATCGTTGCATCGCCCCTTCAACGCTACACCGTCGATGAACACGGGATTCACTCGCAAGGTGCGTGCAAGCTTTCTAGTGATAATTTGCTGCTTCAGCTTGTACCGTTTTGTAACTGAATTTATCTTAATATTGATATCTTGAAGTGGTGACACTGACTCGATTTTATCATTTGCAACACTTAGTTAAAGGCTCGGTTCCGCCGCCGGGTGTCGCTCGAAATTCTAAAAAAATTAGTTCCATCGGTTTCATCGGAGCCGTGAACCATCGAAGCCGTGAGTTCCATCAGAGCCGTGGACCTAAATTGACCGTCACAACACGACTAGATTCTTTTTTATTTTCAAGATTAGTACGAAATGCAGCTAGAACGAAACCTTCAATTTATGTTGCTGAAAGTTGAAACATATGCTCATGCATCAATTTGGAATCGCTGAATCATTGATCGGCTCGCTTCGGAAATAGCACCATCTCGACTTTGCTGTTTTCAGTTTTCGACAAAAGACACACTCGCCGGCGCGGGATCCTCAAATTAAACTTTTATAGACACCTTCAGGCGTGAGTGAGCTCTCTACTGGCTGCCTTCCGGTCGCTTGCCAGAGCGGGCCATTTAATACGAAAAATACAGCCCTCAAGGCTCAAAATGCAAATGTGGAATTTTCATTTACGGATAACGTGGATCATACGAAATATCCCTTTAAAGCGATGGCTTTGTATGGGTAACTTTCCGCAGAAAATTGCTTGCTCGTTATTGTCGTACCGTAGGAAAGATGGGAAAGGGAAGGGGAAGTCTATGCTCCCTTCGCCGTCCCTCTTCCCTCTCCCCGTCCCTCCTACGTTGCGGCTATCCCGAGCAAGCCCTTTTCCATCAACCCTATCAAGTGATATTTCACCTTTCACAAGAAAGGCTGTCCATTAGTTCTCCTAATACAATTCTGTTTGCTGATCTTATTACGTTTATGCAATTTTTTTAAAAGCCTGAAATGCTTTTTAACGAACCGCCCCCCCCCCCCCCCTCTCTTTGCCCCAAATCCCAAACTTTTGTCCGTCCGTGCATTTGCCGCTAAATTTATCAAGGAATCCTTACGTCACGTGACCTAAACATAAATTCATCTTCCTCGATAGATTTAGAGGGAAAATTGTTGTCATGTGACATGTGCACCAGATCAGTCTCCCCGCTACATTTAGGAGGAATATTGATGTCACGTGACTTGACGTCGTGGACTTTTCAACGAATTCAGTTTCTCCGCTAAATTTGGCAAGAAACTAGATGTCAACGTGACGTATTCACCCAGTCAGTTTTCCCACTAAATTGTGATAACTTATAGATTCTTCACTTCCCGAATCGACTGCATAAGCTGTCTAAACAGATTTAAACGATTGCTCCTTAAATGCTGCATTTCATGCGTTATAAGACTTCAAAGGTCACTGCAATTTTTTTTTTTTTTTTGCTGAAAATGTTTACAACATTACACCGAAAAATTTATACTATAACAAGAGCGAATACCACATGCACGAAGTAGTTGAAGATACCGTTCCTATAATACATCCAAGCAGTAATGTGGTGCTGCTGAAGAGGCCAACTTCTTTCATCAATCTTAAGACTTTTTGAGATGTTTCTTCAGGGTCTGATGGACCTGCCACTAATTCCGTATCTCGGGACCGCTTCGTACGTGTCGTTCACCACTTTAGTCCTAATTTTGTCTGTGGCCTTTCTTTGCTGCCTTCGGGTGGTTCCTATAAGAACAAAACATGTTCCGAGCGGTATCTTCCGATGATATATACTGGCCTGATCATCTGCATCAAGTTAGGATGATAATAAGCCGAGAAGATTGTCTTAGCTTTCACACATGTCACTCTCTGAAACCCTTTGCTATAGCAAATTTTTTATCCCCTAGAAAGTCTTAACCCCGCAAAATATCTTAGCATCTACGTGAGTCTTAGCCCTTGTAAGTGTCAGCCCCTATGAAAGTCTAAAGTAGTATTAACGTTTTAGCTCATATCAAAGTCTCTGCCCCTATGAAAATATTTGGTGGTATAAAACTTTAAGGCCCTGTGAAAATCTTTGCCCATATGAAAGTGTTGGCACCAACCAAAATCAACTCTTATAAAACTCTCAGCCGAAGTCAAAATCTAAGGCCCTAAGTGACTTTTAGCCCGGGTGAAAGTCACCGGCGATATACAAGTCCTAGCCCCTACGAAAGTTTTAGCTTCTATAATTGTATAAGACCGGTATGAACGGCTTAGCGCCTATGATGGTCTTAGCGCCTTTGAAAGTCTTAGCCGACATGAAAGTGGTCGCTCCAATGGCCGTTGAATCACCATACTGATTGTTGTGTTTGTTATCTGTCGGAAAGAAGTGCTCACGGGGGGGTGAAGAAAGAAGACGAGGAGTGAATGGAAGACGAAGATGAAACA